AATATTGCTGAGTGCGACGTTAAACAAAAAAAAACCAAATGGAAATAATTCGTAATTATTATAATTATGCTCCAAAAACACTTGGCTCCGCCCACTTTTATGCATAGTTTTATTTTAACAGACAATCCGCTATGTGTTGATCGTTGTGTTTCCGCGGGGCTATCGACAGAAAAGTGACGTAAATCGCTATATTTTGAATGAAGTTCCAGTGACAATATGCCGTATTGTCTCGCAATCGGGTTCAATTCCAGTCCTACGAATACTTCAGGCCTTCATTTCCATGGATTTCCCGCGATCTGGACCCGTGAAGATCCGGGGTAGAATAGGTCTTCAGCAACCCAAGCTTGCCGGGATCGGGTGGTCAGGCTCGCTGACTTGGTTGATGCATGTCATCGATCTCAATTGCGTGGATCGATGCTCATGATATCAATCACTGGATTGTCTGGTCCAGACTTGATTATTTACAGAGCTGGAATATTGCTGAGTGCGGCGTTAAACAACAAACCAACTCCGCGATCTGCCAAGAAGAAAGCTATAGCTGGCGTATTGTCGACGTGCTGATGTCAAACTCGAAGACTTAAGCAAATACAGCACGTTGTGCTCCTTACATTTCTCGAAGAAGAAATATGAAAGAGATCCCGAGTTCATGGCACAATATGGCTACACGAAAGCTGAACCCAAGCTTTTTTAACGATGCTGCACCGGACATTCCCCTAGCTATCGACGGCAAGAGCAAGAATATCGCCAAAAGTGCCAGGTTCGCCGAGAGGGGGACTTGTCAGAAGTGAGTGAAGTTTATATGAACTTGATTCACAATATTGAGTCGTATGATATTACACGCTCGCTTGTATCTCTTGCAGTTTTCATTTACCAGAGTTGTTGGGTGTACATCGATTTTACTGTACTTTGCTTTTATGTCACAGTTTTCGCGCATCTCGTAGGTTTTGGCAGTAGGCTTGTCATCCATGAGGGATCGGACATTCCTCCTACGTACCCTAGTCGCAAGGTTACTTAGTTTTTAAAAAAATCAGAATCGTCAAAATTGTCTACGATTCAAATAATTTATATTTTGTAAAATTAAATAGAATGTGAAATAAAATCACGAAGTTTAAATTGATAAATTTCCCGTTTTAGGATCTGAAAGAAGCATATGATAGTTTCAAAGCAACACAAGATTGTGCCCAGTCAGGCAGTACAGGTATTCAGCAGGACATGTCAACGTTCGAGGCTGTTCAAACTTGTGTTGAGTCTGGCATTGGAAAACACCATTTCGAGTGTCAGGTGTCACGTAAGTGATTTATTGTAACATTCCATATATCAATTCCGCCCAGAATCAAATTTTATGAATTAATTCCGTAATTGTAACTATTTTAGCTTTCATAGTGATATTTGGAGAATCATTTTAGACAAATGTTAAGAAAACATTATAGATTTTTTTAGGATACCTTATTATTCATGCCATTCTGTTATCATAAATACTCTGTATCAACTCAATATGATAAATGGCTTCCTACACACTCTGAGCTGTTGCACATGTATATATATCTGGAGACAAATCCAGGTTGGCGAAAGAAACGAACATGCTATACTTTTGATTGGATAAAAAACCCTGCTGACATAATCCTGTTAATCAAAGCCATCATGTCTAGTTGGTCCAGGAAAATTATCGCAATAGAATGGACATGTAATAGACTGGATCATTGTGGATGATATAATGAGATTTATGATTAAGGATATCTAATATATAGCAATAAGTAACATCGAGAGATTATGTCCATAGGTCCGACCTGGTTTATCCTAGTTGATTTATGTTATATATTTTTGATATTTGTCTTATTTACAGTGGCAGTTCCCAAGGCAAAAATACATCTTCACACAAGACGGATTTAGAGATTACCTGTCAGAAGAATCACAAGATGCATTCAGGCAAGACCACTGTTTGTTTGTAGTTTTACGCCGCACTCAGCAATATTCCAGCTATATGACGGCGGTCTGTAAATAATCGAGTCTGGACCAGACAATCAAGTGACTGATATGATGAGCATTGATCCACGCTATCCCGTTAGTCGCCTCTTACGACCAGCATTGTCGCCTTTTAAGGCAAGAATGGATTTGCTGTGCAGAGTTGCGTCCCTTTGGCACGCAAGAAACCTATGATTGTGGGTTCGAATCCCAGTTCGCCCCTATTTTGTTGCTAGGATTCTCAGCACCATACCTCCCTTGGAATAGATCTTCAGCAACCCATCTTTGCCGTAAAAGGTGACTATGCTTGTCGTAAAAGGCGACAAAAGAACAAACCAAATCAGTTTAGATCCACGCAATTGGGATCGATGACATGTATCATCAAATAAGTCAACCAAGTTAGCGAGCCTGACCACCCGATCCCGTTATTCGCCTTTTTCGGCAAGCATGGGTTGCTGAAGATCTATTCTACCTCGGATCTACACGGGTCTATTCTACCCCGGAATCTTCACGGGTCGTATTATGTAGGGACAACTTACTTTTCAAAGCTTTGCCACTCGTGAAAATATCCCCTTTTCACCGTCATGTGATGAGAAAACCAGGACATTTCACTAGACACATGCATCAACCAAGTCAGCGAGCCTGACCACCCGATCCCGTTAGTCGCCTTTTACGACAAGCATAGTCGCCTTTTACGGCAAGCATGGGTTGCTGAAGACCTGTTCTACTCCGGATCTTCACGGGTCGATAGAATTAAGATATATAACAGTACTGGATACTCGCTGACAATATAAACACGTTTGGTTCAAGAAAACACTCTCGCAATCAGATTTTAATCATGAAACAGGGGTGATCACAGACCTTCGACCTTCGGTATATTTATTAGTTACATTATCAAGGAAGTAGATTTGACTGAGATGTAAATGTACAATATCACGGCTGCATGTACACTGATATATTTCTGATAATTGTTACATTGATATATTTTTTACAGTACTATCAGGCCTTGGGGATGATTAGAGGTTGGGAATATGAGAACAACAAACAGAATAGATAGATAAGTCACATCTTACAGACCAATCAAACATGTCTACAAATCTTTTTACAATAACAAAAATAAATAATAGGGACTGAACATACACCGAGAAGAACTCTTGAAGACATATTTTACTCTGACTCACATAACCCTGTATTAATTTTATATTTGCTAATATAACACACATATCTAAGCTGAACTCAAACAAGTTTTGCTCTGTAACGAATATGATTCAGTATAATAGGATGCTTTAGATTGTTTGTTTGTTGTTTAACGCCGCACTCAGCAATATTCCAGCTATATGACGGCGGTCAGTAAATAATCGAGTATGGACCAGACAATCCAGTGAATGACAACACGAGCATCGATCCACGCAATTGGGATCGATGACATGCATCAACCAAGTCAGCGAGCCTGACCACCCGATCCCGTTAGTCGCCTCCTACGACAAGCATAGTCGCCTTTTACGGCAAGCTTGAGATGCTGAAGACCTTTTCTACCCCGGATCTTCACGGGCCGGATGCTTTAGTAATATGGGTGACATTTTGTCCCTTCCTCACACAGCTGTACCAACGAGTCTGAAGTCCGGTATAGCATGTGATACCCAGTTCACCCTGGATACCACAGAGGCACTCTATTGAGTGTACAGAAATATTATCCTGTAGTGTATTGCCCGAGTACAGTTATGTATGAATATTGGATATATTCAGCCAAGCATTCATCACAGGTGTGTTTCATTTAACGCCACGATATATCATTGATGCATGTTAATGTGCTGTGTAAATTGTATCGAAATATCGAAAACCATATTCCATACATCCGAAATGGGTTTATCGTGATACAGAAAGTAAACAGGTCCTTGAAGGATTACATTTAATTTCAAATTGTGGATAATATCTAAGTATATTTTTTTTGTCCATACGAAGTTTTGTCAACATGCATTAACCATAGTATGTACAGTTTCTAAACATGTAATGACACAACCCCAAGTGAGTATGGTTTTACGCCACTTTTAGCAATATTCCAGCAATATCGCGGCGGGGGACACCAGAAATGGGCTTCACACATTGTGCCCATGTCGGGAATCGAACCTGGGACTTCGGCGTGACGAGCGAACGCGTTAACCACTAGGCTACCCGACCGCCCCGATACAACCCCACAAGTTTTCCTTCTATAACATTATATCTTTCTGTTCACAAACTACCGCTATTTGTAAAGGCTACGCTTGTCTTACAAACATCGTCAGAGTTTCAATTTCTTAAAGAGAAGTCTTGTCTTTTTTATAATTGTTATCACATCAGACATTGTGCTCGAAAGCATGATTGCTCGTGGCCGAAGTAAAATCTGAGGCCAAATTATTGATATTTAGTTTCATAACAAAATGGTCGGCACCTTACATATAGGATCGGCTAACCATTCTTGGAAGAGGTCAGGGGTTTGCAGCAGAGGGTGGCACTAAATTTTGCGGGGGAGGGGGATACACAGCAGAGGGGGGACCTGGAGGGGGGTACACGGCAGAGGGGGGACCTGGAGGGGGGTAAGCGTTGTAAGCCGGGGGTTGTGGTATCTGGCCTGCATATCCACCTTGTTGGGAAGATGCGGCTAAAAACAAATAAAAAAAACATGAATTATTAATAATATTAACATTTTGGACCCGTGAAGATTCCGGGGTGGAATAGGTCTTCAGCAACCCGTGCTTGCCATAAAAGGCGACAAACGGGATCGGGTGGTCAGGCTCGCTGACTTGGTTGATGCATGTCATCGATCCCAATTGCGTGGATCGATGCTCATGATGTCAATGACTGGATTGTCTGGTCCAGACTCGATTACTTGCAGACCGCCGTCATATAGCTGAAATATTGCTGAGTGCGACGTTAAACAACAAACAAACCAACCAAACAAATCTTACAGTCGACTCTGCTACAGGAAGATATTTCTTATGGCTTTGGAAAGGCTGTTGTCACTTTTATTCATATTATTAATTCAAGGAGTGCTTTCAAACCTGTTGTTGACACCATCGTGGGTCCGACTGGCTGAACGCCGACGACGCCCCGTGGTCTATTTGCTGACTTCACACAGGCACAGATGGCGACGATGACGACAACGATGAAGAAAAAGCCACCAACTGACAATCCGACGATGAGTGGGATGTTTCTGTAAATCAGGGAAATAACGATCCCATGTACATGTATTGGAACTGCTCTAATATATATATAAATATGTATAAAGAGTACCCCTGCAGGGAATCCGGGCTATACGAGGTCCCCAACAAACCAAATGGTTGGTTTGTTGTTGCTTACCGCCGCACTCAGCAATATTCCAGCTATATGACGGCGGTCTGTAAATAATCGAGTCTGGACCAGACAATCCACTGATTGATAACATGTGCATCGTTTCACGCAATTGTTTGGTTGTTGTTTAACGCCGCACTCAGTAATATTCCAGCTCTATGACGGCGGTCTGTAAATAATCGAGTATGGACCAGACAATCCAGTCATTGACATCATGAGCATCGATCAACGCAATTGGGATCGATGACATGCATAAACCAAGTCAGCGAGCCTGACCACCCGATCCCGTTAGTCGCCTTTTACGACAAGCATAGTCGCCTTTTACGGCAAGCATGGGTTGCTGAAGACCTATTCCAACCCGGATCTTGGGGATGTATACCCCCAATGTCGCATTTACAGTAATTAGAGAAGTTGTTATCCATAAATTGTGTCTATTTTGTCATTGGTCAACTTCTTAGTAATGCCAATCAAACAATTAACCTACCTTAGACCCGTGAAGATCCGGGGTGGAATAGGTCTTCAGCAACCCATGCTTGCCGTAAAAGGCGACTATGCTTGTCGTAAAAGGCGACTAACGGGATCGGGTGGTCAGGCTCGCTGACTTGGTTGATGCATGTCATCGATCCCAATTGTGTGGATCGATGTTCATGATGTAAATCACTGGATTGTCTGGTCCAGATTCGATAATATACAGACCGCCGTCATATAGCTGGAATATTGCTGAGTGCGGCGTAAAAACAACATACCATCAAATAAAATCACCTACTCGTATGTTTCAATTGTACTTGTATAACTCGAAAAGCCACTTGAGCCACTGCAACAGTATCTACGGGAACTGCTGTAATAGGACCCACAACAGCTGGTGCAGTATATGTCGTTGTAGTAGCTGTGTGAACAGGTCTCTCCACTTGCCCCTGAAAGACAAACAGTCATTGACTAGTCAAAGACATATGACAACAACAACATTAACGCCTATTGCGCTTTAACGTACGGACAGCTGATGCATATATTGCATGTAATGGCAAACAAGATTGGTTGGTTTGTTTGATGTTAAACGCCGCACTCAGCAATCTTACAGCTATATGACGGCGGTTGGTAAATAACTGAGTGTGGACCACACAATCCAGTTATTGACATGAGCATCGATCTACGCAATTGGGATACGATGAGATGCATCAACGAAGTCAGCGAGCTTGACGACCGGATTACGACAAGCAAACGACAAGCATGGGTTGCTGAAGACCTTTTCTACCCGGAACTTCACGGGTCGGTAATCCGTTTGAAAATGGTAGTAGTAGTAAATGTAGTGGTAGTGATGGTTGTAGTAGAAGCAACACTGGTAGTAGGAGGGGTAATGGTAGTAGTAGAAGTATAAGTAGTCTGGTAGTAGTAAATGTAGTGGTAGTTGTAGCAGTAACAGTGGTAGTAGGAGGTGTATTGTAGTAGAAGTAGTAGGGTAGTAGTAGCAGCAGCAGTGGTAGTAGGAGGGGTAATGGTAGAAGTAGTAGCAGCAGCGCAAGCAGAAGTGATTTTGTGACCTTCCTATGATCGGTAGTGGTTGTGGTAGTGGTAGTGGTGGCGATAGTGGCAGTAGTTTTACATGCAGTACTAGTTGTTTGTTTGTTGTTTAACGCGGCACTCAGCAGTATTCCAACTATATGACGGCGGTCTGTAAATAATCGTGTCTGGACAAGACAATCCCGTGATTGACATGAACATCGATATACGCAATTGGGATACGACATGCATCAATGAAGTCAGCGAGCCCGACGACCCGATCCCGTTAGTCGCCTCTTACCACAAGCATAGTCGCCTTTCACGGCAAGCATGCATTCTACCCCGGATCTTCACGGGTAAGTTAATTTGGTTGGTTGGTTTGTTGTTTAACGCCGCATTCAGCAATATTACAGCTATATGACGGCGGTCTGTAAATAATCGAGTATGGACCAGACAATCAAGTGATTCATATCATGAGCATCGATCCACCCAATTGGGATCGAGGACATGCATCAACCAAGTGAGCGAGCATTGTCGCCTTTTACGGCAAGCATGGGTTGCTGAAGACCTATTCTACCCCGGAATCTTCACAGTAGTAGAAGTAGTAGCCGGAATCTCCACAGTAGAAGTAGTAGTAGTAGCCGGAATCTTCACAGTAGTAGTAGTAGAAGTTGTAGTTGTAGTGATAGTAATAGTAGTATTAGCAGCAGCAGAAGTAGAAACACGTTCATAATTATCACTGGAAATAATCGAAGTTCCTTCCTTGCATTATGTCTGGTTGTTCGAGCAGAAAACAGTTTTAAACGTTAGCAATAATTATGTCGTCATCAGTGTCATTCTGACCTGAGAAAAGCTTCATAGAAATCCCGTGTACATGTGTTACAGCCATCACCTTGTGGCCGACGTCTTATGGCAGGAAACACGTACTCATTCACGCAAATTGTATGAATGACGGGTACTAAAGTACTCACGGAAATGAAAAAAACCTGTTTTTTTCGATCTCATATTTTAAATAAATGCAGTTAATATACAAAATATATACATATTCAAACAACTCAATTAGTACCAGTTGGGCCTTGGCACAAATACAGCATATCGAGGGTTTTATGTCATTTTACACGTAAAAGTGTGTACAAATATGAACAAAACAGATTATTGTGAAACTGAGCATAACCAGGTGTTAGTAGATCAAACAGGTGCTTGAAACCCACGTGCATGTGATTTGTCAGTGGTTAGTGATTTGTGAGTGGCATTGTGGGATAGTGAATCATCGTCCAAATATCAGAACGTAGAAGTTACATATTCCCTTCTCAATCAAAAACTTACATTTTCTGCCATGTCAATTTGGACTTAGTTTTATTTTTGAATGTTGAAAGTGCCTACAAATTACCTCCTGTAAAGTACATTTTGTATTGAGCACTGAAATAAAACTAGCAAAACTAAAACTAGTACTTTTCCAGTTGTTTTGTTATTTCGTATTTACATCTACGTAATGTTTTGTGTCGATTTCTAAATCCAACAAAACAGGGTTTTTTTCATTTCATTGAGTACTTTACCTGTTAGGCAGGACATGCTTTCCCTTTTCGTGAACACCTGGTGTCATCTATGTTTTCACTGATCAATTCATATAATTTTCCTCGTTTTTTGGTGTCTATTACGGTCAATATAATATATTTCGGCGGATAATCGAGACTGGTTCTTTCGCATTGACGTTTCAAATTTCCTTGTCGCTTTGCTATCTGGTTGGGGTTATCAAAACGCCTAAAAATCCATGTATCTTTACTGCTATTTAGAACATGAGTTTAGCCAAACCAGTATATACTATATATGTATACTTTTCATTGAGGCTGACCACTGGCAAAAATAATAAGTGCAGGAAGAAAAGTATTTTTTTCTATTCACACAGATAACAAACTTGCCTTCAATGAGAAAGAGAAGAAATCCAGTAACACAATAGAGTCCTTCCATGCTGAAATGTTCTTAAACACTGAATAAGATAGTGTGTAACTAGCAGTAACTACGAACGCTAAAATGATGGGCTTGTAAGCAAGATAGTCACCATGGGCGACATGTCCTGTTACAGCATTGCTGACCGTTAAAGTCCCGATAGCAAACCAATCAAATTCAACAAACCAAATAAGATATTGTGCAACTGGTGGTAACCAAGGACGCTTAAAAGAAGGGGTAAGCACACAACAGTCACAAGGGGCGAATCACGTGGTCTTCAGCAACCAATGCTTGCCGTAAAGGGCGACTATGCTTGTCGTAAAAGGCGACTAACGGGATCAGGTGGTAAGGCTCGCAGACTTGGTTGATACACTTCATTGATTCAATTTGCGTGGATCGCTGTTCATGATGTAAATCACTGGATTTTCTGGTCCAGGTTGGAATAGGTCTTCAGCAACCCATGGTTGCCGTAAAAGGCGACTATGCTTGTCGTAGGAGGCGACTAACGGGATCGGGTGGTCAGGCTCGCTGACTTTGTTGATGCATGTCATCGTGTCCCATTTGCGTGGATTGATGCTCATGATATCAATCACTGAATTGTTAACTATTTACAGACCGCCGTCATATAGCTGGAGTGCGGCGTAAAACATCAAACCAAACCAAACCATTGCTTGAGAGAGTACCAACATATATACATTGGTACATTGATATAAATTGTTCACACAATTGAGTGTCTTAGTCTCACTGATTTATATGCAACCGTTGCAAGATTTATTACAGTTTCTGGATGTTTGAAAACATTAGTAAGTTAAATTTATGCAATGTTGGATATGAGTAATGGGGGAAGACACAAACTCCTAAGATTGTCATAAATATGACACCCAAATGAAAAATGGTATTCATCTTTTATTTATCGTTGTTTGCATACATGACATGTTCTATCTGATTTTTACGTCTTTAATGTATCTACCAGTTTCAATACGCAGCTGGTGAGAAGAACATTTGAAGGATTATAAAAAGGCTACGAACAGAGCATTCAAACATGAATTTATACCAAATCTGCATAATCGATTTTTTAAAATGCCGTAAAAGGTGACTATGCTTGTTGTACAAGGCGACTAACGGGATCGGGTGGTCAGGCTCGCTGACTTGGTTGATGCATGTCATCGATCCCAATTGCGTGGATCGATGCTCATGATGTAAATCAATGGATTGTCTGGTCCAGACTCGATTATTATACAGACCGCCGTCATATAGCTGAAATATCGCTGAGTGCGACGTTAAACAAAAAACCCAAAACAAATGAAAATAATTCGTAATTATTATAATTATGCTCCAAAAACACTTTGGCTCCGCCCACTTTTATGCATAGTTTTATTTTTAGCGGTCAGCCTCCTGTGGCTGTGACGTCATACCAGACAGTCCGCTATGTGTTGATCGTTGTGTTTCCGCTGGGCTATCGACGGAAAAGTGACGTAAATCGCTATATTTTGAATGAAGTTCTCGTGACAATATGCCGTATTGTCTCGCAATCGGGTTCACTTCCAGTCCTACGAATACTTCAGGCCTTCATTTCCATGGATTTCCTCGCGATCTGGACCCGTGAAGATCCCGGGTAGAGTAGGTCTTCAGCAACCCAAGCTTGCCGTAAAAGGCGACTAACGGGATCGGGTGGTCAGGCTCGCTGACTTGGTTGATGCATGTCATCGATCCCAATTGCGTGGATCGGTGCTCATGATATTAATCACTGGATTGTCTCGTCCAGACTTGATTATTTACAGACCGCCGTCAATTGCTGGAATATTGCTGAGTGCGGCGTTAACCCCCTGGATGCCAGAGGGACATATATGTCCTTCCTCTACAACCCTCAGTTTGAAGTCGCTATATGACGGCGGTCTGTAAATAATCGAGCCTGGACCAGACAATCCAGTGATTGATATCATGAGCATCGATCCACGCAATTGGGATCGATGACATGTATCATCAAATAAGTCAACCAAGTTTGCGAGTCTGACCACCCGATCCCGTTAGTCGCCTTTTACGGCAAGCATGGGTTGCTGAAGATCTATTCTACCTCGGATCTTCGCGGGTCTATTCTACCCCGGAATCTTCACGGGTCGTATTATGTAGGGACAACTTACTTTTCAAAGCTTTGCCACTCGTGAAAATATCCCCTTTTCACTGTCATGTGATGAGAAAACCAGGACATTTCACTAGACACATGCATCAACCAAGTCAGCGAGCCTGACCACCCGACCCCGTTAGTCGCCTTTTACGACAAGCATAGTTGCCTTTTACGGCAAGCATGGGTTGCTGAAGACCTGTTCTACCCTGGATCTTCACGGGTTGATAGAATTAAGATATATAACAGTACTGGATACTCGCTGACAATATAAACACGTTTGGTTCAAGAAAACACTCTCGCAATCAGATTTTAATCATGAAACAGGGGTGATCACAGACCTTCGACATATTTATTAGTTACATTATCAAGGAAGTAGATTTGACTGAGATGTAAATGTACAATATCACGGCTGCATGTACACTGATATATTTCTGATAATTTTTTCATTGATATATTTTTGATAATTACAGTACTGTCAGGTCTCAGGGATAATTAGAGGTTGGGAATATGAGAACAACAAACAGAATAGATAAATAAGTCACATCTTACAGACCAATCAAACATGTCTACAAATCTTTTTACAATAACAAAAATAAATAATAGGGACTGAACATACATCGAGAAGAACTCTTGAAGACATATTTTACTCTGACTCACATAGCCCTGAATTAATTTTATATTTGATAATATAACACACATATCTGAACTGAAACAAGTTGTGCTCTGTAACGAATGTGATTCAGTATAATAGGATGCTTTAGATTGTTTGTTTGTTGTTTAACGCCGCACTCAGCAATATTCCAGCTATATGACGGCGGTCTGTAAATAATCGAGTATGGACCAGACAATCCAGTGAATGACAACACGAACATCGATCCACGCAATTGGGATCGATGACATGCATCAACAAAGTCAGCGAGCCTGACCACCCGATCCCGTTAGTCGCCTCCTACGACAAGCATAGTCGCCTTTTACGGCAAGCTTGCGATGCTGAAGACCTTTTCTACCCCGGATCTTCACGGGCCGGATGCTTTAGTTATATGGGTGACATTTTGTCCCTTCCTCACACAGCTGTACCAACGTGTCTTAAGTCCGGTATAGCATATGTTACCCAGCTAACCCTGGATACCACAGAGGCACTCTATTGAGTGTACAGAAATATGATCCTGTGGTGTATTGCCCGAGTACAGTTATGTATGAATATTGGATATATTCAGCCAAGCATTCATCACAGGTGTGTTTCATTTAACGTCACGGTATATCATTGATGCATGTAAATGTGCTGTGTAAATTGTATCGAAATATCGAAAACCATATTCCATACATCCGAAATGGGTTTATCGTGATACAAAAAGTAAACAGGTCTTAAAGGATTACATTTAATTTCAAATTGTGGATAATACCTAAGTATATTTTTTTGTCCATACGAAGTTTTGTCAACATGCATTAACCATAGTATGTACAGTTTCTAAACATGTAATGACACAACCCCAAGTGAGTATGGTTTTACGCCGCTTTTAGCATATTCCAGCAATATCGAGGCGGGGGACACCAGAAATGGGCTTCACACATTGTGCCCATGTCAGGAATCGAACCTGGGACTTCGGCGTGACGAGCGAACGCTGTAACCACTAGGCTACCCGACCGCCCCGATACAACCCCACAAGTTTTCCTTCTATAACATTATATCTTTCTGTTCACAAATTACCGCTATTTGTAATGGCTACGCTTGTCTTACAAACATCGTCAGAGTTTCAATTTCTTAAAGAGAAGTCTTGTCTTTTTTATAATTGTTATCACATCAGACATTGTGCTCGAAAGCATGATTGCTCGTGGCCGAAGTTGTGATTATTATGACCGAATGATGGTTTGATGCCCTGTTGGCTGGGGGGATGGCAATGGGTGTGGGATTTTCGTTAGAATCGGAATTTATTTTTGTCATTGCGCCATGAACTGCGAACAAATGTTTTGTTGTAAAATCTGAGGCCAAATTATTGATATTTAGTTTCATAACAAAATGGTCGGCACCTTACATATAGGATCGGCTAACCATTCTTGGAAGAGTTCAGGGGTTTGCAGCAGAGGGTGGCACTAAGTTTTGCGGGGGAGGGGGATACACAGCAGAGGGGGGACCTGGAGGGGGGTACACGGCAGAGGGGGGACCCGGAGGGGGGTACACGGCAGAGGGGGGACCTGGAGGGGGGTAAGCGTTGTAAGCCTGGGGTTGTGGTATCTGGCCTGCATATCCACCTTGTTGGGAAGATGCGGCTAAAAACAAATAAAAAAAACATGAATTATTAATAATATTAACATTTTGGACCCGTGAAGATTCCGGGGTAGAATAGGTCTTCAGCAACCCATGCTTGCCATAAAAGGCGAAAACAGGATCGGGTGGTCAGGCTCGCTGACTTGGTTGATGCATGTCATCGATCCCAATTGCGTGGATCGATGCTCATGATGTCAATGACTGGATTGTCTGGTCCAGACTCGATTATTTACAGACCACCGTCATATAGCTGGAATATTGCTGAGTGCGACGTTAAACAACAAACAAACCAACCAAACAAATCGTACAGTCGACTCTGCTACAGGAAGATATTTCTTATGGCTTTGGAAAGGCTGTTGTCACTTTTATTCATATTATTAATTCAAGGAGTGCTTTCAAACCTGTTGTTGACACCATCGTGGGTCCGACTGGCTGAACGCCGACGACGCCCCGTGGTCTATTTGCTGACTTCACACAGGCACAGATGGCGGCGATGACGACAACGATGAAGAAAAAGCCACCAACTGACAATCCGACGATGAGGGGGATGTTTCTGTAAATCAGGGAAATAACGATCCCATGTACATGTATTGGAACTGCTCTAATATATATATATATGTATAAAGAGTATCCCTGCAGGATATCCGGGCTATACGAGGTCCCCAACAAACCAAATGGTTGGTTGGTTGCTGCTTACCGCAGCACTCAGCAATATTCAAACTATATAACGGCGGTCTGTAAATAATCGAGTCTGGACCAGACAATCCACTGATTGATAACATGTGCATCGTTTCACGCAATTGTTTGGTTGTTGTTTAACGCCGCACTCAGTAATATTCCAGCTCTATGACGGCGGTCTGTAAATAATCGAGTATGGACCAGAAAATCCAGTCATTGAAATCATGAGCATCGATCAACGCAATTGGGATCGATGACATGCATCAACCAAGTCAACGAGCCTGACCACCCGATCCCGTTAGTCGCCTTTTACGACAAGCATAGTCGACTTTTACGGCAAGCATTGGTTGCTGAAGACCTATTCCAACCTGGCGTAAAACAACATACCACCAAAAAAAAACACCTACTCGTATGTTTCAATTGTACTTGTATAACTCGAAAAGCCACTTGAGCCACTTGAGCCATCGCAACAGTATCTACCGGTACTGCTGGAATAGGACCCACAACAGCTGGTGCAGTATATGTCGCCGTAGAGGTACGATGAGCAGATCTCTCCCACTGCCCCTGAAAGACAAGCAGTCATTGACTACAAAGACATATGACAACAACCACATTAACGCCTATTGCGCTTTAACGTACGGACAGCTGATGCATATATTGCATGTAATGGCAAACAAGATTGGTTGATTTGTTTGATGTTTAACGCCGCACTCAGCAATAGTCCAGCTATATGACGGCGGTTGGTAAATAACTGAGTGTGGACCACACAATCCAGTTATTGACATGAGCATCGATCTACGCAATTGGGATACGATGACATGCATCAACGAAGTCAGCAAGCTTGACGACCGGATTACGACAAGCATATGACAAGCATGGGTTGCTGAAGACCTTTTCTACCCGGAACTTCACGGGTCGGTAATCCGTTTGAAAATGGTAGTAGTAGTAAATTTAGTGATAGTGATGGTTGTAGTAGAAGCAACAGTGGTAGTAGGAGGGGTAATGGTAGTAGCAGTATAAGTATAAGTAGTCTGGTAGTAGTAGTGGTAGTGATGGTAGTAGTAGCAGCAACAGTGGTAGTACGAAGGGTATTGTAGTACGGCAAGCATGCATTCTACCCCGGATCTTCACGGGTAGTGTGGTTGGTTGGTTTGTTGTTTAACGCCACACTCAGCAATATTACAGCTATATGACGGCGGTCTGTAAATAATCGAGTTTGGACCAGACAATCCAGTGATTGATATCATGAGCATCAGTCCACCCAATTGGGATCGATGACACGCATCAACCAAGTCAGCGAGCCTGACCACCCGATCCCGTTAGTCGCCTTTTACGACAGGCATAGTCGCCTTTTACGGCAAGTATGGGTTACTGAAGACCTATTCTACCCCGGAATCTTCATAGTAGTAGTAGTTGTAGCCGGAATCTTCACAGTAGTAGTAGTAGTAGTAGTAGTAGTTGTAGTGATAGTAAGAGTACTATTAGCAGCAGCAGAAGTAGAAGCACGTTCATAATTATCAATCGAAATAATCGAAGTTCCTTCCTTGCATTATGTCTAGATGTTCGAGCAGAAACCAATGTAAAACTTTAGCAATAATTATGTCGTTATCGGTGTCATTCTGACCTGAGAAAAGCTTCATGGAACACGTGTTAGTCATCACCTTGTGGCCGACGTCTTGTGGCAGGATACACTCACTCACGCAAATTGTATGAATGACGGGTACTAAAGAACTCACGGAAATGAAAAAAAACCTGTTTTTTCGAACTCGGATTTTAAATAAATGCAGTTAATATAAAAAATATATAAAATATTCAAACAACTCAATTACTACCAGTTGGGCCTTGGCACAAATACAGCATATCAAGGGTTTTATGTCATTTTACACGTAAAGTGTGTAAAAATATGAACAAGACAGACTATTGTGAAACTGAGCATAACCAGGTGTTAGTAGATCAAACAGGTGCTTGAAACCCACGTGCATGTGATTTGTCAGTGGTTAGTGATTTGTGAGTGGCATTGTGGGATAGTGAATCATCGTCCAAATATCAAAACGTAGAAGTAACATATTCCCTTCCCAATCAACAACTTACATGTCATTATTATTATGTACATAAACATAGCTGTTATTTTTATTGTTGTTTTGATAACTTTTTTCCAGGATAATTTGCATAATGCCTACAGCCTGTTTCTGACATGTAAATTTGGACTTAGTTATATTTTTGATGTTGAAAGTGCCTACAAATTACCTCCTGTAAAGCACATTTTGTATTGAGCACTAAAATAAAACTAGCAAATCCAGATTAGTACTTTTCCAGTTGTTTTGTTATTTCGTATTTACATCTACGTAATGTTTTGTGTCGATTTCTAAATCCAACAAAACAGGGTTTTTTTCATTTCCATGAGTAATTTACCTGTTAGGCAGGACATGCTTTCCCTTTTCGTGAACACCTGGTGTCATCAGTGAACCATCCATATAATTTTCCTCGTTTTTGGGTGTCTATTACGGCCAATAGAATATATTTCGGCGGATAATCGAGACTGGTTCTTCTTTGGCATTGACGTTTCAAATTTCCTTGTCGCTTTGCTATCTGGTTGGGGTTTTCAAAACGCCTAAAAATCCATGTATCTTTACTGCTATTTAGAACATGAGTTTAGCCAAACCAGTATATACTATATATGTATACTTTTCATTGAGGCTGACCACTGGCAAAAATAATAAGTGCAGGAAGAAAAGTATTTTTTTCTATTCACACAGATAAGAAACTTGCCTTCAATGAGAAAGAGAAGAAATCCAGTAATACAATAGAGTCCTTCCATGCTGAAATGTTCTTAAACACTGAATAAGATAGTGTGTAACTAGCAGTAACTACGAACGCTAAAATGATGGGCTTATAAACAAGATAGTCACCATGGGCGACATGTCCTGTTACAGTATTGCTGACCGTTAAAGTCCCGATAGCAAACCAATCAAATCCAACAAACCAAATAAGATATTGTGCAACTGGTGGTAACCAAGGACGCTTAAAAGAAGGGTAAGCACACAACAGTCACAAGGGGCGAATCACGTGGTCTTCAGCAACCAATGCTTGTCGTAAAAGGCGACTAACGGGATCAGGTGGTAAGGCTCGCAGACTTGGTTGATACACGTCATTGATTCAATTTGCGTGGATTGCTGTTCATGATGTAAATCACTGGATTGTCTGGTCCAGGTTGGAATAGGTCTTCAGCAATCCATGGTTGCCGTAAAAGGCCATTATGCTTGTCGTAGGAGGCGACTAACGGGATCGGTTGGTCAGGCTCGCTGACTTTGTTGATGCATGTCATCGTGTCCCATTTGCGTGGATTGATGCTCATGATATCAATCACTGAATTGTTTACTATTTACAGTCCGCCGTCATATAGCTGGAATATTGCTGAGTGCGGCGTAAAACATCAAACCAAACCAAACCATTGCTTGAGAGAGTACCAACATATATACATTGGTACATTGATATAAATTGTTCACACAATTGAGTGTCTTAGTCTCACTGATTTATATGCAACCGTTGCAAGATTTATTACAGTTTCTGGATGTTTGAAAACATTAGTAAGTTAAATTTATGTAATATTGGATATGAGTAATGGGGGAAGACACAACCTCCTAAGATTGTCAAGAATATGACACCCAAATGAAAACTGGTATTCATCTTTTATTTATCTTTGTTTGCATACATGACATGTTCTATCTGATTTTTACCTCTTTAATGTATTTACCAGTTTCAATACGCAGCTGGTGAGAAGAACATTTAAAGGATTATTAACAAGGATACGAACAGAGCATTGTTCTTACAGAATACCATTCAAACATGAATTTATACCAAATCTGCCGTAAAAGGTGTCTATGCTTGTCGAAAAGGCGACTAACGGGATCGGGGGGTCAGGCTCGCTGACTTGGTTGATGCATGTCATCGATCCCAATTGCGTGGATTGATGCTCATGATGTAAATCACTGGATTGTCTGGTCCAGACTCGATTATTATACAGACCGCCGTCATATAGCTGAAATATCGCTGAGTGCGACGTTAAACAAAAAACCCAAAACAAATGAAAATAATTCGTAATTATTATAATTATGCTCCCAAAACACTTTGGCTCCGCCCACTTTTATGCATAGTTTTATTTTTAGCGGTCAGCCTCCTGTGGCTGTGACGTCATACCAGACAGTCCGCTATGTGTTGATCGTTGTGTTTCCGCTGGGCTATCGACAGAAAAGTGACGTAAATCGCTATATTTTGAATGAAGTTCTCGTGACAATATGCCGTATTGTCTCGCAATCGGGTTCACTTCCAGTCCTACGAATACTTCAGGCCTTCATTTCCATGGATTTCCTCGCGATCTGGACCCGTGAAGATCCCGGGTAGAGTAGTCTTCAGCAACCCAAGCTTGCCGTAAAAGGCGACTATGCTTGTGGTAAAAGGCGACTAACGGGATCGGGTGGTCAGGCTCGCTGACTTGGTTGATGCATGTCATCGATCCCAATTGCGTGGATCGGTGCTCATGATATCAATCACTGGATTGTCTGGTCCAGACTTGATTATTTACAGACCGCCGTCATATAGCTGGAATATTGCTGAGTGCGGCGTTAAACAACAAACCAACCAACCAACCCCGCGATCTGCCAAGAAGAAAGCTATAGCTGGCGTATTGTCGACGTGCTGATGTCAAACTCAAACACTTAAGCAAATACAGCACGTTGTGCTCCTTACATTTCTCGAAGAAGAATTATGAAAGAGATCCCGAGTTCATGGCAATATGGCTACACATAAGCTGAACCCAAGCTTTTTTAACGATGCTGCACCGGACATTTCCCTGGCTATCGACGGGAAGAGCAAGAGTATCGCCAAAAGTGCCAGGTTCGCCGAGAGGGGGGCTTGTCAGAAGTGAGTGAAGTAGAGATGAACTTGATTTACAATATTGAGTCGTATGATATAACACGCTCGCTTGTATCTCTTGCAGTTTTCAATTACCAGAGTTGTTTGGTGTAGATCGGTTTTACTGTACTTTGCTTTTATGTCACAGTTTTCAGCGCATCTCGCAGGTTTTGGCAGTAGGCTTGTCATTCATGAGGGATTGGGCATTCCCCTGCTACATACACTAGTCGCAAGGTTACTTAGTTTTAAAAAAAATCAGAATCGTCAAAATTGTGTACGATTTAAATAATTTATATTTTGTAAAATTAAATAGAATGTGAAATAAAATCACGAAGTTTAAATTGATAAATTTCCCGTTTTAGGATCTGAAAGAAGCATATCATAGTATCAAAGCAACACAAGATTGTGCACAGTCAGGCAGTACAGGTATTCAGCAGGACATGTCAACGTTCGAGCCTGTTTAAACTTGTGTTGAGTCTGGCAGTGGAAAACACCATTTCGAGTGTCAGGTGTCACGTAAGTGATTTATTGTAACATTCCATATATCAATTCTGCTCAGAATCAAATTTTATGAATTAATTCCGTAATTGTAACTATTTTAGCTTTCATAGTGATATTTTGCAGAATCATTTTAGACAAATGTTACAGAAAATATTATTGATTGATTGAGGGAAACCTTCTTCCAATTATTCAGGCCATTCTGTTATGATAAATACTCTGTATCAACTCAATATGATATATGGCTTCCTACACACTCTGAGCTGTTGCACATGTATACATATCTGGAGACAAATCCAGGTTGGCGAAAGAAACGACATGCCATCCTTTTGATTGGACAAAACCCTGCTGACATAATCCTGTTAATCAAAGCCATCATGTCTAGTTTGTCCAGGAAAATTATCGCAATAGAATGGACATGTATTAGCCTGGATCATTGTGGATGAGATATAATGAGATTTATGATTAAGGATATCCAATATATAGCAATAAGTAACATCGAGAGATTATGTCCATAGGTCCGACCTGGTTTATCCTAGTTGATTTATGTTATATATTTTAGATATTTGTCTTATTTACAGTGGCAGTTCCCAAGGCAAAAATACATCTTCACACAAGACGTATTTAGAGATTACCTGTCAGAAGAATCACAAGATGCATTCAGGCAAGACCACTGTTTGTTTGTTTGTTGTTTCACGCCGCACTCAGCAATATTCCAGCTATATGACGGCGGTCTGTAAATAACCGAGTCTGGACGAGACAATGCAGTGATAAACATCTTTGAGCATCGATCCACGCAATTGGGATCGAAGACATGTATAAACCAAGTCAGCGAGCCTGACCACCCGATCCCGTTAGTCGCTTTTTACGACAAGCATAGTCGCCTTTTACGGCAAGAATGGGTTGCTGAAGACCTATTCTACCCCGGAGTCTTCACGGCCACATTCACCTCTAACTACCTGATTTGATTGGTTGGTTGGTTTGTTGCTTTACGCCGCACTCAACAATATTCCAGCGATATGACAGCGGTCTGTAAATAATCGTTTGTCGCCTTTTACGGTAAGCATGGGTTGCTGAAGACCTATTCTACCCCGGATCTTCACGAGTCATATATCACATGTAATAACATACATTGACAGGTTACTGGTTAGCGATCGTGCATGTATAGTATCAGAAACAAGGTTAAAATCATGAAATTTTGATTACTCCGTAATGTTTGATATAACAAATCATTGATAGGTTCCATTGACTGTTTTAGTGCTTACATATGCTTAGCAACCAAGTCACCGTATGACAGATAAGGCGTTGTACCAGGAAGTAGCAGAGTCGTGAACCACTGTTATCTCAAATATAAAACGTCAACGACAGAGAATATACAGTCTCGATGATCCGCCGACACTGTTTCCACCGAGCGCAAAACAAACACGACCTACTCATCCGGTAGCACCCACCACTCCTGCAATGCGACGGCGGCCTGAGAACTAACTAGACAGTGATCGATGGCGCACTTACTGATTTTATGTAAAAAAATTCTTAGCTCATAAAACATGGCCCACCTTGTCCCATAGTTTCAATGGAATGTATTGCGACTTATCGTCTTGGACATAAGAACAATCTATATGTACAGTTTTAACTACATCCGCTATGTAAAGATGCGCCATATACAATGAATGTTTTAAGCGCAGTGTAAACATGCAGTGATGTTATGTGGGTTCTCGTAGAAGTAAGCTGATATGGAATATTATGTGTCTCTCCATGTGCAATTAAATTAACTGAATTGATCCATTGTGTTTTGTTTGCATTGGTTGATTTCTATTCTGCCGTTCATTTACTTGTAGTAGGAGGTGAGGTGAGGTGAAATTGGGTTTAACGTCGCGTCCAAGATTATTGCACTTATGTAGCACACGTGCATGTACTTGTGTGTGTTTGTGTGGCTGTTTGTACTAGTCCGGACTGATGCCGATTTATAGTGCTAGCCCACTGAGATACGATGCCGCAGTTTAACATGAATCCCCTACTCAGACACAGTATACTGACTCCGAGCCGACCAGTCCTTGTTTAGCCCCTTAATGCCGAGCGCCAGACAGGGTAACAACAAGTACCATCTTCTTGTAGTATGATAGAATAAAACATATACAAATCCGTGAATAAAATAATATACCGTCGTTAACTAACTTTAGTTGGGAGTTCTGGAGAGATATGTTTTCAGTAAAGAGCATGTAAGACAACAACTGAAACATGATACACGGGAGTTAATACACTTAGTTTAACTTTTTAGTTGCCTTAGAATATTGCATTTTAACAATGTTCAATATAATAATATTTTATTCACAGATATCACTCCACAGAAAACATACCATTTTCATACACTCTATCAATATTACACATATAAATAAATAAATAAATACATACATAAATAAAGAAATAAATAAATAAATAAATAAACACATACATAAATTGGAGAACAGCTTATGACTGATTATATGTCCTGAGTTTACAGTCTCGAGCGAGTACATGATGGACATACAAACCG